GGGCTTAAGAGATTCTCTTGCCTCAGCCTCCCAAGTAGCTGGGACTATAGACCCCCACCACAACACCTGGCTATTTTTAGGTTATAGTTGTCATTGTTGTTTAGCAGACCCAGGCTGGATTCCAACCCACCAGCTCTGGTGCATGTGGCTGGCGCCCTAGCCCCTTGAGCTACAGGTGCTGAGCTGATATACCTGTTTCTATCTTGAAGAATTTTTTTTTTTTTTGCAGTTTTTAGCCAGGGCTGGGTTTGAACCCACCACCTCCGGCCTATTAGGCCAGTGCCCTACTCCTTTGAGCCACAGGCGCTGCCCTCTTAAAGAATTTTTTGCAAAACTAAGTTTATTTTTTTTTCCATAGTAAAATATACTCAGGAAAGACAATGTCGAAGTATAGAAAAGTAGAAAGAAAAGAGAGAGGCATTCACAGAACCACCACCTTGTTGGGCACAGGAGTTTATACCTGTAATCCCAGCACTTGGAAGGCCAAGGAGCAAGGATTGTTTGAGGCCAGGAGTTCAAAACCTACCTAGGCAACATAACAAGACTCCATCTCTATACCAAACAAAAAGAAAATTACCTAGGCAATAGTGATACCTGCCTATAATCCCAGCTACTCAGGAGGCTGAGGCAGGAGGATCACCTGAGCCCAGTAGTTCAAGGTTTCAGTGAACTGTGATCAGACCAACTGCACTATAGCCTGGATGGAAGAGCTAGTAGACCTTGTCTCTAAAATAATAATAATAATAGTAATAACAATAATAAAGAAAGAACTATCACCTCAGAGAGGTAAGTATTGATCTTTCTTCAGCATCTCCAACTGCAGTTCAATCCCCACCATTTCCAGCAGTTAAGAACCTCTATAACAGGTATGATAGATACATTGGGTTTGCATACTTGGACTTTAGCAACATTGCTTATAATTTCCTACCCCTATTGAGACTTGACATTTTAAAGGTAATTTAGCTTCAGCTTGAAAGAATCATTCATTCCCAGGTCACAGGTTGACAGTCATCCACTTCTACCAGCCAGAGGCTCCTGCTCAAGCAGCTTAAGCCAACAACCTAACTGGGTGACTAAGAAAGGAATGAACAAGCTCAGGAACCAAGCACTGGTTTCCCTTACTTTAGGAAGCAGATGTTTCCAGAGGTATAAAGCCTACCAATGACAAGTAGGAAGCTCTTCTATTTTGTATGTTCAACATAACCATAATAATAATAGCATATCATGGAGAGAGAAAATTGAATTTCCTCCAAGTCCCTACCATGTTCCCTAAAAACTGGCTCATAAAAGACATAATAAAATGGTATCACTCTGGCTGGATTTCCATTGCAGGAAAGATTGCAGATGCAGACAGATGTGCACAAGAAAGAGAATGTGATTTCCTAATGTAATATCCCACTACTATTAAGTAAGAAGACAGCAAGCAGAATAATAAAAGGAGCAGCAGTTCTAACCTCTCCCTAAATGAGATTTCTAGTTGATCTGTCTTTTGTTCCACCCTCTGCCAGCCAAGCACTGAGCAGACACCATGAAGATGTAATTCGTGACTCCCATTTCAGCAGAATGACTGCTATACCGAAGGATGTCTCCAGCTAAGCTCTTCACCAGTGAGAAATGCAACAAGATCACAGAAGAACCTGTCATTCTGCTTTAAGCAGCCAGCTACACTGTACACATATGAAAGGGATTATAGGAAAGAGCCCTCAGGGACTGAATGCATCTCCCATCCCCATCCTTCACTGAAACTAGGGAAAAGTTATTAAACTACAGGAGACAGACTGTGATCCACAGCTATCAAGTCCTGCCTGCAGCTGTGAATACCAACAAGCTAGAGATGAGTCCCTGCAGCTTCTCTGTGCACGAATGCACACTCACGCACAGGGAAATGCTCTGCTGCAGTAATGAGTGACAGCGAAGAGTCACAAAGGCTAAGCAGAGCCGGAGATCCTCCTCAATAACCCCACCAAAACCCCTACACTGTTGGATGCTCTAGTTCTAGAGGTTTCTCCCAGTTTTTGTTCTTCAATTGAAATGGGATTCTCTTAAAGGTATTCCAAATCCTCTCATTTCATGCATTTTCTCTGAAGCAAGAAAATAAGCAGGTGGGGGGAGGTGAAACTTACATAAGATTCAGGGTACTAAGGGCTTTCCTGGGCTAAGCTCCTCAGCCAGAAAGAGAAGACCCATGGGGCTGGGCTGAGCAAATGAAGCAGTTTGGAGACTCCCTAGAGCTTTAGAGCTCTGGGCAACACTTCCACTTTTCATCATAGCTTTTATAAGAAGAAGAAAACAGCCTGGGTCCTGGCCTCTAGGGAAGCAGAGACCCGTTGATAATCTGTTCCAAGATAACTGGTCTCTGTGTACACCTAGGTGGCTGCTTCTGGATTTTATAAATACTCTTCCCTGAAGCCAGGCTCAGCTCCATATTAGAAGACAGCTTCAATGACTAAATTGCTAGTTAGAACCCATTTACTCTCACAGCAGAGGAGGCTGGGCATCCTTGCATATACTGACAGTCCTCACCCAAGGATCACACCCTAATCATTCTTCTGAGCCCCTGATTAAGGCTAGCCAAATTCAGCTGCTGAGTCAGGAGCATCCCTAAGACTTGACTTTCCCACCACATACCAAATTATTTTCCTTGACACAAAACAGCATTGTTGCTCAACCAAATATCACCTGGAATGCCAGTCCCTGCAGTGTGTCTTACAGAGTGGCCATGTACTTCCCCTGAAAAGCATAGACTAACCACAAATCTTCATGTTGGCATAGCTTTCAGATCACAAACTCCCAGGGGATGGCTAATATTACAACTTTCAGATTTAGAAACACCAGGGTGGGAGGAATGGTTTGAACCCTAGACCTCAGTGAAAAGAGGACAAAGAAAACCTCTTTTCTCATGTTAGAGCTGAAAGAAGCAAGAGGAGCAAAGGTTGCTCCTTTTTATTTTTTCTTTCTGAAAGACTGTCATGGTCATCCGGCTAAAGGACAGGAAACCCCTTTGGTTCATCTGCAGCCCTCAGACTAGTTGAATTTTCCAGGACAAAATGTGTGAACATGGTAACCAAGACAAAAGAGCAGTTGGCACTAATTGGCTCCCTGGGTGACAACTTTTGATAGAAGCCAGCAGACCTCCTACTAAAGATTTTCATTTTTAGGCTGGGCACAGTGGCTCACACCCATAATTATAGCACTCTGGGAGTTCAAGGCAGGTGGATTGCTTGAGCTCAGGAGTTTGAGACCAGCCTAAGCAAGAGGGAGACCCTTCTCTACTAAAAATAGAAACAACAAGCTGGGCATGGTAGTACATGCCTGTAGTCCCAGCTACTTGGGAGGCTGAGGCAAGAGGATTACTTAAGCTCAAGAGTTAGAGGTTGCTGTGAGCTATGACACCATGGCACTCTACCCAGGGCAACAGAGTGAGAACTCTGTCTCCCCCCCAAAAAAAAAGAAAAGAAAGGAAAAAAAGAAAGAGGCTCAGTGCCTGTAGCACAGTGGTTACAGCGCCAGTCACATGCACTGAGGGTGGCGGGTTCAAACCCAGCTCAGGCCAGCTAAAACAACAATGACAATTGCAATGAAAAAATATCTGGCCAGGCACTGTGGCGGGTGCCTGTAGTCCTAGCTAC